TGCGTGTTTACTGACGACCATAGAAGGCTCACTTTACGGCGTAAAAGGCTTACAAGTGGCATTAAAAATGACCACTTTTGACTTGGCTTATAGCACTGAATATTTTTTTTTATTCATTTACTTTTTTTTATTGTAAAAATACTCTGTGACTTAAAGGCTATGGTTCAGTAAAGCAACAGCCTATAGCATTGGTTTGCAATAGACTTCATCTTATCACCTGCAGACGGACTGCCAGCTCTGCAGATGTGAAGGAACTTGGTCTTTTGTTTAGACACATGAAATTCACGATTATTTTGTAGTAATCGGTAAATTATACTAGAGGGATACGCCCCCTGATCGCTTCACAGTCTAACCCCTCGCAGCGCTTCTCGTCTTAGGCGCTATGCGTTACACATTATTCTTAAGATTTTATCTTATAAATTAAGATATGCAATGAATTAAGTAATTTATTGTGTTAGAGCAGGGATGTGGTTAGGAACTATTAATGGAGGCGAGAGTGAATTCCTTTGGCAGACTTATCATTTAGGAGGAAAGTGGGATCCAAAGGTATAAAATCCTGGAAATTGTATCTTTTTTGGTGGAAAATTCGCGGCTGAAGAAACGGAGGCCCCCATGTCCACATATCGTTAACCAGACCACACTTTTGTCGGACCCTAAGGCTTAACGTATCCGGACATCCTAAGCCAAAATTCATATCGGGGTTCACGGGTCTTGGGGTCGAGGCGGCGTGCGACACAAGGGCGCAGTTAGGAGTTCCCTCTTCCTCCCCCCCCCCCTCGTTCCCGAGAATCCACAATTCTCCGCTCAAAACACAAACATTTGATTTCACTTAGCCTCGTGCTCTCGCAAAGCGCGGGATGAGCGATGCCTGGGGGTCGCCCAGGATCGTGGGAAGGTATAAATCTGGGGTTACAAGCAGCGGGTCACGGGGGCGAAGGGGAAAGGGTTGTGGAGAAGGTGCGGAGAGGGATGCAAAAATGTCACGAAGTTTGCATAACAACGATCCCGCAAATGCGTCGGTGTCGCCTCAGTCGTGACGTCACCGGTACAACCTAGCGCATGGTTGCCGAACCGGGTCCGATTTGCAGGTATTCTGCAGCTGTCAATAAAGGACTATGATAGATTGGCGACGTATTACGTGACAATCGGGGGAGAAGATCTTGGTGCTGAAAAACTTAAAATTTCAATGATTCTTGGAGGAGTGGTTCAACGATAGATAATGGACAAATACTTTTGATATGGAGACCGCTGTTTTAAGATTATTGAAATCGATACATATCCTTTTCTCCTCCTTTTTCACTTTCTTCAGATAGCTGTTGGGGGCTAATTTTGCGCTTGAACCCCTCTTCCTCCCTCAAACGGTACCCAGAACCATTAGCAGACCTTGCATGGGGCCGCGGGAACTCGTCCCACCAAAATTCTACTTGGTCCCTCCCAAGAAAAGTGTGTGAAATCCTTTTCATCTTGGAAATTCGGATTCGGTCTATTTTTCTGTAAGAACAACTCAAAATTGCTCCTGAGATGACTCAATTTGTCATGAATTTATAGAGGCTCCACGAGTTCCCCATGGAAGCTAGAAAACTATACCGCAAATCCCCCTTTGAAGATGGGGGAGCCCCACCCCACAGATACCCTCTCGACGGCTGTCTTTAGGTTTTTAAGGTGTCCTTCTCCTCCCCTCCCCCCACGCACGCACACCTCCACACACAAATCTCCAGTTCCGCTCTTGCTCGAAACCCAGTTCCAAGCGAACCTGGCGAAAGGAAAGAGGAAAGTCCTGGAAGAGAGTGAAAATGGAAAGACTAGACTGAAATAAATCAACTCGTAACCTATGCGAAACCCATTCAAATGTATGCCACCCCCAAACTGTAGATAGATAGTGATCTTTAAAAAACAAAAATGAACCAATAAATTAAGTGCATCAGTTTGATTTGAGAAAATTTGAATATTCCATGAAATGAGGCACCACTGGTGAATATTTACACCATGTTGGTGCGCCATCAAACAGAACAATTAAGGGTTCCACGAAAGGAAGGTGAACGATAATGCACAGTTTAACATTTGTGGGTGCTGCCACCGAAGTAGAGCTAGAAAGCGAAAGCATTCCACAACTGAGCCCAATATTAGCTTTCGTTCCATTGATCCATGATTGAGTAATGACCAGAATTTCAAGCGTGTACATCCGTATTATGGCCTAATTGCATGTTAGGATATTAGCCGTGCGGTGGGACTTTATATGGGGAAAATTCGAACCCTCGGGACTTCGTATTAAAAAATAACTTGCGGCACGCGCTTAAGATAAGTTTAGATGTCCGGAAAATATTGCTGACTAGAGGGATTTTCCGGTCTCCATTCGGGGGAGTTCACTAAAGCTCCGATTCGACTCAAAAAGTGCTGATCGAATGAGTTCTGGCAGTTATACCGCGCAGCTTTAATTTTCAAAGATATCCATTTATATATACTGGCTCATTATTACGCATTGGTCCATTCTGGTTTTCTTTTCGAATTATTTTTATTTTATATTGAAAATAAGATAAATACGAGGAAGAAGAGGGGATGCACTATCCACAATTTTATTAAGATTTAATCATGAGCAAGGAGCGGAAATGTCATGGAATACCAGAGAATAATTCCTTTAAACGGTTGGATTTATAACACTGCTGCAAAATTAAAGGTCACACTTATCTTAAAGGACGTCAATGTATACATTTTTCGGCCGAATAAATACAAATTGCTCTCTTGAAATCCCTTATAATAAACCAGTTGGTATCATTTTTACTGTTTTTAGCGTAAAAAGTGGAGATATCCGTTTCAGTAGTGTCAGCAACCTATTTCTATCTTTTACTGGAAAAATTACTGGAAAAGCTCAAATTTTTCTTCAATAGTCCCACGGATTTTTCTCGTTCCAGCAGTAAAAAAATCAATCTAACGCTTTAATTGTTTCCTATCTAGAGGTTTACCCCTATTTTGTCTGGTTATTCTTTATTAAACATCTGTAATCCTTTTCAGCAAAGCTGAGAGCTGTTTTGCGTTCAAAGCTATGTTCGCGACATTTCCAGAATTATCCTCCTCGGTATTTTCCTACATAGTTTGTGACGGGCTGATATTGCATAACAACTTGACGATACAATCATATTCCTTTATCAATAGTTGATACATGATGATTTGGGATTAAATAAAAATATTCATGGAGTCTCATTTTTTTGTAAAAAAAAACAAAATAATAATTTAAAAAATCTAAAATTTCGTTCCCTTAAAATTCTTCTCGTAAACTGGCGACTGGCGCTCTCTCAACTTGCTTTGCGACGGCAACTTGTTTTGTTATTAAGTTTTCATAGAGGTCGTGCTGTAACTTTAAAGGATATAATTTGGTGAATAAAATTTAATATCATAGTAATTTTACGCTGTTTATTTAATATCATATCTTCTTATAGTAAATATAAACTTATTTTGAGAAGTTTTTTTTTGAGGGGGGGGGGAGTAGGACGAGGATGAAGATTTTAACTGGCATTTCAGTTTCTGTACCTTTTGAACTCTGAAGTTTTCATTTAAATTCCTAGATATTGAGAAATACCTCATTTGATTCGCAAAGAAGACCAAAATATAAAAAGTGATCTTCGCCCCCATTAAAATTTTAGGGTTCTCAGTCCCAGGGAGCACATTTTAAAAAAATATCATCCGGATAAAAAAAAAACTCAAACAAATCCGCGTTAAACTCCAAGTTAATGCATACGTATCCTATTTTTGCTGCGCGTTAACATGAGAAATGCGATACATTTTTATTTAATCAATTCGTGATTTTAAAGAAGAAACGTTTTCCGTAACTTTAAATAGGGTATATAGTTTTAGGGAGCATTTCACCGAGAAATCGCATCCAACAAAACAAGTCTACCTATAGAATCATAACGTATTGGTTTTAAATATATCCACGTTGAATCCTACATCAACGCGCAGGTATCCTATATTTTGTTACGTGTTATCATGAAAATACATCCGATACATGATCTTACTCTCTTCATATAGCTGACTCAAATATAAGTATAAAAAAATATCTTTTCCTGAAAATTTTGGGGGTTGTTCACGCGCGGCGCTTTTCGGAAGAATATCACCCAGCATGAAAATACCGTTTTGGATCGAAGAATCAACTTTCAAACTGCCGTCGCCGAATTTTTATCCTATATTTGCAGTGCTATATCTGTGAAAATATATTTAATTTGTATCCGTTCGATTCATAATATTGAGAAAACAGATTCTCTACCCAGAATAGGGTGCATGGTTTCATTTTTGATGAACATCGCCGAGCATAAAAATCCAAGTAATAAAAGGGCATAAAAATCAAACAATCGGCTTCCCGAATTACCGCGTATCTTATTTCCACCACCCGCTTTCCATGAAAATACAATAATAAAACAATTTAAAAAACGGGTAGCAAGGCTAATTTACACGAATGAAACCAAAACGTTTCGGCTGAAAACTCAGCCTTCCTCAGTAGTTGGATAAAATAGTAAAAAGAAAAATGGTAAAAATCTAAAATAGTACTTGACTGCGTACCTTTCAAAGCGAGAATGTTGTTATCTAACTGAGGAGGGCTGAGTTTTCCGCCGAAACGTTTTGGTTTCATTCGTGTAAATTAGCCTTGTAACCCGTTTTTTAATAATTGTTTTATTATTGTAATATTGGAAATTTTAGATACTTTAATAGATTTGGAGTCAAATTTAGAATTTTTTATGTTGAAACATTAGATGCAAAAATTGACAAAAAATGATTTCGACAAATTTCATCGGAGAATTATCTGGAAAAAGAGTTGGGGGAAAAATTATGAAAAAATATCTTGTCACGGGCTGCGAGCGTCAACCATATTTCCATGAAAATACCCCCGTACAATCCGGCAACGCCGTAGCTTTTGTTTATTTTGACTGGCTATGTGTCAGTGTGTCACTAGAGCTAAGGGCGGAGGGGGAGGGGGGGTTGTCCCTCAATATGGCAAGGGATCCACTCACCGTGGACGACTCGTCGGCGTTGAGGAGCGCGTAAAAATCCTCGGAACTGGCCTTCTCGTAGTTGAGGATCCCTTCGACGTTGGCCATGACCACTCACACTGACGCGCACCGCACACAAACACAACACGGACGCGGGACTGACGTGACGCGGCGCTGCGGACGGCTGACGCGCTACTCCCGAGCTTTCGCTCCGGGCCGCCAACCGCCGAGCCGACGTCGTGAGCTGTTCCGGGGAGCGGGTCCCAAGCCGAGCCGGCCCGAACGTGAACGAGTCCCGCGAGCCGCGACGTGGTCCAGCCGTCCGAAAGGCGGATCGCTGGAAGTAACGCCTTTTTTCGCCCTTTTAAAATGTTTAATTTTGAAGAAAGTAACGAATATTTTTTCTCGAAATTTTCAGACGCTTTAGATCAAACTATAAACAATAAATTATCTGGGAAATTTTAAGAAAATTTTTCACACATTCTCCTGGAAATTAATGATTTTCCACAGGAAATTTGGCGAACGAGAACCCGCGACGTGGTCCAGCCGTCCGAAAGGCGGATCGCTGGAAGTAACGCCTTTTTCTCGCCCATTTAAAATGTTTAATTTTGAAGAAAGTAATGAATATTTTTCCTCGAAATTTTCAGACGCTTTAGATCAAACTATAAACAAAATTATCTGGGAAATTTTAAGAAAAGTTTTCACACATTCTCCTGAAAATTGATGATTTTCCACAGGAAATTTGGCGAACGAGAACCCGCGACGTGGTCCAGCCGTCCGAAAGGCGGATCGCTGGAAGTTACGGCTTTTTTCGCCCATTTTTCCACCCCTAATTTAATTTTTTTTGAATTTTTAATTTATTTGTATAACTTGATCACATTTTGCAATAAGGAACCAATCGGTGGCTCTTTCACAAAAGAACCGTCCTGCATGGAAACCAATGACATAAATGTTAATTTTAAAATGAGTTAGGAATCGTGGTTCCTCCTTGAAAAATGTGATCCAATTCATGTATTAATTGTTTAATCAATTTAATCTTCTCACCTTTTAAACAGTTGTAAACGAATAGAAATTTTAATTATTTTTTCAATTTTTTCTGAAAAATTGTCTTCTAATTTAATTTTTCAGTATTTTTCTTTCATTTTCCTTAATTATTTTCTCAATTTTTACATTTTTTCCTAGGTTCAGTAATCAGAGACTTCGCGACATTGCGTCACAGCTATGTTTCAATCATTTTCCCCCAACTTTTTACCAAATAGGTAATTTTTTTATGAAAATTTTTCCAAATCATTCTTTTTCAGTTTTTGCAACTTATATTTCAAATGTTTTCTTCTAAATTGGACTCCAAATTTTTAAAATTTTCTAAATTTCAAAAGCCCTGGGACCCAAAATTTTGAAGTATATTTTAAACCCTGATTTCTCATAATTCATTGCCAAAGAGCAAGACAGCATCTGATCGGTTCCGAACCGACTCATTGTCAGCGTAACCACGCTCACTTTACAAACGAGTCCTCACTTGACGATTCCGTCCAGCTCGCTCACCTTGACAGCTAGCGCCCCGCGCGGAGGCTGGACCAACTAAAAAAACGATCTGGTCCAGATGCAAGCAGATCCACTCCTCCGTGATGAGAGAACCGCCGCGACCCCCACCTCCCCGTTTAACTTTAGGGGGGAGGGGTATCCGTGCCAACTGTTGACTCGACTGACATAACTTTTCCATTCAAATAATTACAAAATTGAATCGGGAATCGTCGAAGACCGCGCGGCGGTTAGCTCTCTCCTCCTCCATTTCAATCCCTCTCTTCCTAGTCCTTGGCCTTGTGCGTGGTGATTGGCGGGGATTTCCCTTCGATTAATCTCTTTGCTCCTTCGGTGTCTCAAGTCCAAGTATTAGCTCTGTCTAGTCTGACAGATCGACGTGACAATGTAACGAGGTTGACACGCAAAGAGAAAGGTATCAGTTGACATGGGCGTAGGTCGTAGGAAGGGGGGGGGATCTCTGCGGAGCCTGCTTCAAAATCGTACTTTTCCTGAAAATTCGTCCTTTTCTCAGACGGAGGAACGTAACTTAAATTTCAACGCTGTAAAATTGCTACTTGAGAAATGTACATTCACTGGTGCGGCATTTCAAACTTAAAATGTAACAGGGTTTTCTATTGATCATACGCACGAAACAATTGCAAAATTTATGACAGAAATCGCACAGCTAGGTTCTTCTGAAATAATTTAATTATTTAAGTCAATTTTACAAACTTGAATTGGAGTTACGTTTGTCTATCAAAGGAAACAACGAATTGCAATCGCACGTTTTGCAAAGCGCACCCAGCTGATCCTGCTTGGGACGGATACTGAACGAATTACTTTATAACGTCTGAATGCAACTATTCGGGCTCTATGGATGTGCGCGTTGCATAGGTACAAAGATGAAGGCGTTTTGACGCTCCAGGCGTTCACCGCTTCATCCGCGGCACGGCGCTCTGCGGATTGAGTCAATGGGAGGTCGGACAAAATTTGGAAACTTTAAACGCTTATGACTCCGTTCATACAAAACTTTGAGGTTTTAAAAGTGGTTTCAGTGCTTTCTTCGTGAAATGTTCATCTACAAGCACTCATTGAAATTTAAAATACGACCAAATCAACGTCAAAACTTGCAGTTTTAGTCAAAAATTTCATGTCCGACCTCTCTAGTTGACTCGATCCACTGCGTGCGGCGGCGGGCAGCACTATAAAAGGATCGAGGGCGCCATCGATTCTTCGTTTAAATTTCGAACACATAGCTTAGGCACGAATAGTTGCTCTAAAAATCGTGTTCATATCGCGATATCAAAACTGAAGCACGAAAGATATGCGCATCGTATGTTTGTGTGCAATCACAGATATAGTCGTGCCTAAAGGATGTCTTCAGGGTATAAACGATGAAATGAAGGTGCTCTATCTTTTAGAATCATCGCAGTACAGCTCGCCGCCGCGCAGGCCCAAAGCGGTCGAATGACTTGAGAGTCAAAACGCCTTCTCTTCCATGCGTATGCAACTCGGACATCCGTGGAGCCCGAATATTTTCATCCAGGCGTTAGGGTTTTCACTGGGTTTTAATGCGAAACTTTTTCCGGGGGAATGGAGTTTGCTTATTGAGACTTGTCGTCAAGATTTAAAATTACTTAATTTATATTCATAAAAGTTACGTTCTGACGAATTAATTCGTGCATTTTTCAGACCTAGAGAGTTAACTTCCGCACGAAAAGCATCACATATTCAGAGTTTCGCTCTGTGACAGCAAAGGTACGCACTGTTCCTCTTTCGCGCATTGCAAATGGAGATTTCAATCATTGTAAAAAAAAAAGAAAAAAAAAAAATAGTGCTGACTGCTGCTTGGCTATCTTAAACAAAAAAATGTGTGTATGGGAATTTTTCAACCAAAGGGCATTTTTTCTTCTTCATATTTATAGGGATTGATACTGTATCTAGAGAAAAACTAGGTCAATATAAATTCATATCAAATTGAGGGAAACATCTGTACATCAGTTGACTAATTAACAAATCTACTCCTCCTTTTTTCCAATCTTTACTTTTTATGCTGGCATGCAGCCCAATATAAAATCCAGAATGTACTCTTGGTAAGGTCGAAACCGAAACAGTTGGAGATTTTCGCGGTTTCAAAGAATTGCAATAGAAGTAAAGTGAGGTGTCTTAATAGAACATTCTTGTACGTAATCTCCGGTACTTACAGCGAGCCATTCTGTCGACAAGCAAGCACCCCCGTTTTATGGTTCCAAATTAATTTCAATGATCAGATCGACTCGGATAATTACTGCGTGATATCCAGGTCACTAATTACGCCGCTCAATGGGTCCCAACTGTGATTTTTAAGGACAATTTTCAAATGAAAAAAAAAAACATTGAATTATTTTAATATCAATAAATAACCGTTTCCTTGACAATTTTTCGTCATGTGCTTGGTGGAATACTCGCGTTGGGTTAAGTAACGGCTGCAAGAATCGCCACTGGTTTTCAACCCTGTATGGTATATTTGCGATGATGGAAGCTTTTACTTTCGGGGCTATAACATTCAATTGTTGACCTACACAAAATACTCCCGTGCTGAGGAAACGTCGTGTGAACATTTGAGAGTTGCCAAATTTCATCCGATAAAATGTTTAATTTTGAAGAAAGTAATGAATATTTTTCCTCGACATTTTCAGACACTTTAGATCAAACTATAAACAAAATTATCTGGGAAATTTTCAGAAAATTTTTCACAAATTCTCCTGAAAATCAATGATTTTTCACAGGAAATTCGGCAACACCCGAGGGCTCATACGGTGTTTCTCTTCAGCGCGGCAGAGCATTGATGTTTATTAGCGTGTTAAGCATTTCGTTCTGCAAGCAAGCCGAAGTTTGGTAAACTTGTTTGGCAGATTGCATCACCCGAGACTCATCGTCCGCAGCTCAACAGCCGACACAAAGCGTACCGCCTGATATGACCATATAATGGCCCATGAGAAAATGATGAGTCCCCAAAAGTAAAAGTTTCCATCTGTTGCCAAGGGGTTAGTGCTTCTTCTCTTGTCGCTGCTCAAAACAACGCAATTTTATTCTTTTTGCCCTCTAATGTCGAGTTTTTAGCCCCTGTGTGCCGCAGGGATGAGCCGTGGGAACTCGAAAGCTGTCATCCAGCAAATGAAGGAGTCGCTGACAGGTTGGCTCGTGACAGAGTTGTCATCACGGGCTCACCCGGCGAGCAGGTAGAGAGTGACCCCCTCTCCCCCCTATTAATTAATGGCGCATCACTTTTACCCCCCCCCCTCCCCACGGGGGATATTGATCCCCCCCGCCGCTGTGCCCTGCTCCGCCCGCTATCAGGTAATGGCGTTTACGATCTCCCTCGCCTAGCCCACTGAGCAACGAGCGAAATGGCGTCAAAATCCCGCAGAACTGTGTCACTCCAGAGAGCTTGATGAAATAACGCAATTTTCTGCTGCTTCCCCCGATCAGGAATGTGAAAGTTCAGTAAATTCACTCCTGTTGGATTTTCAGTGTGAAATTTTCGATAGTTTAGGAAAAAAGTTTCCTATTTTCTCGGCAAAAGGACTAAACTAATACTATTTAATCTTCAGGAGTTTATTTGAATAAATATGCAGGTCACAATCATTATTGCAAGTCAGAGACATACCCAGTTAGAACAATTAAAGTATAGATTCAAAATAGCTGGAATTTTGTCTCTCGATTTTCCGATCGATGGGGCTGAGTTGCATTTTGAACTTCTGAAAACGTTGAGAAATTAATTATGAATACTTTCCAATATAGCAAAAGCACCAGTAATGTACAGCGAGAAGGTTGTTTTTTTATATGCGTTGATTATATGTATAATAATATAGAGGCGTCATTAAATTAGGATGAACTTAATTTTGTGAAAATTTGTGAAGTATTTACAAGATTTCACTTTCCATAGCTGCCCTTCACCAAAGTGTATCGATTAAGTTTAATTGTAAGGCTAATTTTCACATAAATAATACCAAAACGTTTCGGCTGAAAACTCACTTCCTCAGTTGGATAAAACAGTAAAACATTTTTAAAATAATCTAAAATAGTAATTGGCTGTAATTTTTTTTTTTTTTTTTTTTTTTTTTTTTTTTTTTTTTTTTTTTAAAGAAATTATTATTTATTGAGTTGTGTACAGATTGGAGCTATGGTGGACAGGCCATAGCCCGAAGGCCTGTTATTACATTTTAAAAAGAAACCTACTTATATGATTAATTACAGTTTTAGAGTTATTTCCCCCCTTTAGTATTTGTTCCCTATATAGACTTATATACTATATACATTTATGGTACTATTTATATGTGTTATGGTTTCTTAAGAAGTTTCTTGAGATTCTCGTTCGTCTTGATTGATTTATAATTTCTTATTTGCCTCGGGATCACCTGTCGGTATGTCTTCGAGGGGTAAGGGGTTGGTATTTGATGATGTCTGTTGTCCTTCATTTAGTGCTGCTTGTTTGCTTATTAGGGTGTTTTTGATATATTTGTAGACCTCTGTCCAGTTTTTCCTAGAATCCAGCATTATCTTCATTATGTTATCTGGTGTTTTAATTGGCTGTAATTGCACTTGTGTAATTTGCTTTAACATTGTATATCTTGTCACGGGCTGTGGAGCAATTGGAGCATCAATCATATATCTCATGTTTAATTTTGTAAGGTGTCGTTCCAAAAATGTAAAGTCATAAAAAACGTTAGCGGGAAGATTAAAGTTGGAGGAAGGTTAAATATTTCGAATTCAGTATAGGCGGTGAATGAGCGAAGTTTTTAGATTATCGTATGGGTTTACATTTGTTTTCCTGTTAGAATTATGCATAACCAACGTTCTTAAAACATTTATTTGCAATCCCTCCTTCTTCATCATTTTTGTTCTTGGTTTAATTTCTGATCAGCTAGTAGAAATTCGCAGTTAGTTCCATTCACCCTCAACTGCAACCACCGAGAGATAGATCCGAACGCTAATTTTATGTGAAAGACCCGTATTTTACTTGAACAAAACGAAATGTTTAGAGATACTACTTGATTTGATTTCATGACTTCTCGAAAGTGAAAGAGCACTGACATTGAACCGTGTTTAACAACATTGCCTTGGTGGTATCATTCTGACATAGAAATGAGTGGATTGGTATCGAATATTTTTGAAGGCGCTCTAAAAATCTGTCTGTAGCATATTTTGCCCATTCATAAGTGGCATCAGAAACTGCAGATTTCGTATGGTTTTTTTTCTTCGATATAACAGTCACTTTGGTTCCCTACTTTGCTGACGGATTTGTTTCGGATTACACTGAGACGTATTTTATTCAATTGTTGCGTCTCGCATCAACCCTTTACAAAAGGATTATAATCTCTGGATAGACCAACTGCATCCCAACTGCACTTCCAGAGTTTTTGAGCCTCATCCTGATTACGTGCTCTTTTCAGGACTTTTCTCGGTTTGCAATCACTGGAAAATAAGCATGAAAATATGATAGCTTTAACTATCTTCGAATAGGGTATAGTCAAATAAATAACAATGAAGCAGTAATTAGAAGGTAGATTAGGAATAGAATAAATTTTAACCTCTAAATGAAACTAGTACTTGCAATAGACACTTCGTATACTTCCAGTATTAATATGAAAGCGTACTTTGATTTATATCAGTGACGATCCATGAGGAAGGAAACCATAGAATTTTTTTTTCTTCTTTTCTTTGTGTCGCATTAGGTGGTTAAAAAAATCGAAATTTTAACATCAACGGTGAGAGCTTTCGATTTATAATAATTTTTGGTACAAATCATCTCAGAAAATTTTAAATCGAGCCAAAGTTTTGACGACACAAATTTTATAGTTCAAAGCGCGTGGTTTTGAACAAAGACTATTTGAGGTTTAAACCTGCCGGCCTTGAGGCTCCAAATTGTCAGATTATATCCCACAGCTTTACGTACTCAATTGACGCCTTTGTCTAAACTGGTCGCAATTAATCTCCTTGGACACGCAGTAGAGGAGATTTCCTGCCGAAATTCAAAGTCCATTTTCTTACACACATTTACCAAAATCGCAACAATTATCTCTGGGAGCTAAAGTCCCTTCTATCGCATCCATGGATAATATACAATTTATCAGAAAAGTGGCATGATAAGTGTGAAATCAGTATTACATATTACAAGCTTGTAACTATCACCCTCGGTAAGGAATCGATAGTATATTGTTTTAGCAACGGTTTGGAATCCAATACACTAAAATATTGAAATTTACGTGCGAGATATTTTTTTTCGAACCTACTAGCGACCATTATTTAGTCAAACGTACCAGTAGTAAAGTCCACTTTCCTTCCCCACTTCCTGATCGAGACAGCAATGAAGAGCTGTTTGAGCGGCTTGTCGGGGTGATTTGAAAAATAAATTGCTGTATCGACTCAACAAAATACGTTTTAATATTGATAACCGAGCCGTGTCTAAATTTTGGAAGATTCCTGAACGGATCAGTCCTGGATGCACACTGTAGGTTGTTACTCCAGTGCCTGCATCAAGTAGAAAAACAATGTTGTTCAATTTTGAATGCGAAGTCATATGCAGAAGTTACCGAACACACACAGAGGCATAAAAGTAAAATATGTACCTAGTCCGTATAACCATTAATTTGGAAAAACTAACATTATCACGTTTCCAATGTCAAACAAGATAAACGAATAGTGCAGTCGGTATTCGTTTAGATTTTGAGCCAAGTGTAACTTATTCACAGAATAGAATATATGTGGATATATTTTAGGATTTATGTATGGTTTGAGTTTCGTTTGAATCTTTGGATTTTACTTTCCTGAGGTTTGTTTTCCCATCAACATCGATGTGGTGTAGCTATTGAATGGCCTGACCCTCTTTAGAATTTGAAGCAAGCAGTATCATTCTACTCCCCCCACCCTCCGAACAAATCTGAACTTCAAAAATAATCCTTAAATTTTCCAGTCATGCAATGCAAAAAGACGAGACAAGGAGATAACAGTTTAATAAAATCACAAAATTGTTACTGACAATTTTCGTCGAGGTAGCCTCAACCTAAAATGCAGTCAATTAAGATTAACACTTCGCACGCCCTATTCAGGGGGATAGGGGTTTCCATGTATACCCGGCTATACCCCCTCCGTGGGTGGGGTTAAGGCTGCGGATCATTTTTTTGGGGGGCCAAACATCCCCCCCCCCCCCCCAAGGCATTAATGTAGTTATGCCTCGGACCAGTATGAACTATTCAATCACCATGTTTATTAATTTGTTAGGGATCGTTTGAATTTCATATAATACGTTTAAATTTAATTAAATAATATGGTTACCATTTAGTTTCCTTGCAAGTTCAGCCGAGAATAACATATTTGCTAGTTTACTCCTGCTGTACGCTCTGAGTGGTGCATATGATTTCTCGAGTGTGATATCATCGTAATACATGTTACCATTGCCTGCACTGATGAAGGGATTAATTAAAATCATGCAAAAATATTCTTGAAAACTTTAAGCACGTGCAATACGTACATATTTGGAAAAGAGAAGAATTCTTCCAAAATTCACCAGACTCATGTAAAGATCAACATTTATCAAACGGATAAGGTGCGGCCCTACCCTTACTTTTTAAAAATCATCAATGATGAAAGATTGAAACTACTGTAGCCTCAACAACGGATCTAATTGATAAAAGAGGTGAACTTTCACTTTTTCCCTTTTCTCAAGCCTCTTTATATTTTCTAACTTTTCAGGTTTTGGCCAGCTTTCGTTGATATGGAACCCTGTGCCATAAGTCCTTGCTTCACTCTTCAACATATCTCTTTTTGTTATGTATGCCGCTTTGTTACAGGCAAATTGCGAAATCAGGCATTTTATCGAGTGCCTTTAGGCAGATGGTCAAATTTTGAAAGTTCACGAAGTATCGTAAGTTTTAACAAGGAGCTCTCAAAGTTTCAATATTTTGAAATTGAGAATTCATTAAATCATTAAGTAACACCGTGCTTTTCTTTTCAAAACGCTCCTCCTTTACATATAATGGTCAAAATTGTAAAAAATTTAAATTTAAGATAATGCTACACGTATCCTTTGAAATGATTGGCCATTTCTGAGCTAGAAATTTGTGCAGAAACAATAAAATACCTAACCCAGGTATCAAAGAATGAACGAAGAGCATGATATCACATATCATTCATATCGTCTCTAATAACGATGCATATGCCCAAACAAACCAGAGCTACGTCTACGTACCCCAAATATAAGCTAAAGAGGCGATGGTAACAATCCTTGCAGGAGCAGACTTAATTATCCTTGGCAACAAGAGCATGGTGAATAAGAAATGACCCAGGTGATTAGTCTGAAATTGTGCCTCGTGACCATCCTCCGTCAGCTCTCGAGTGCTCACAAAATAGCCTAGATAAAAATCACAAAATCTATAATGATCAATGTTTATGGCCTTTTAAAGGTAAGGTTGAGAAAAAAGTCGACAGCAAGTGGCGAAAAATTATAACTTAAATATACAAATAAAAATTAGAAAAAATTGAAGGGTAATTCCATCGAAAAAAAGTGGTGGTGAGGGTTGAATCGGTTAGAACAGCTGCTTCAGAGCCCGATCGTGTCTTAAGAATGGACGATTGCCATTCATGCTCCAGTACGTCAGAGGTGACTGAAAATTGGTACAGTGGAGGATGCATTAGAGTACGATCACACGTCAATTTGTGGCATATAATTTTAAATTTAGCCACTCTCGCTTCACTTGTGGGTGTGATGTAAACAAAAACAAATGAGGTTTTGCGATCATTCATTGATTTTTTGTGGTTGTTTACTCGGTGTATGCATTCACACGTACAAACACAACGGTTCTAAATGTGATTGCATCGGATTTTTTTTTATTGCTGTTCCTAAAAATATACTATCACTACGAAAAAATCGCGAAATTTTTTTCTCGGTATGGTACTACTGAGGTTTGCTGTTTCTCCTGGAGTGAGGCCTGCAATGTTTCTTGAATCGGTTTTAATGATTCTCGAAATCAACCTTTGAATATTTCTCATGTATATAGGCTCTCTCCTTTGACTGACATCAGATTCATATCACGAGGACACGACGAATGCGATAGGATTGAGAGCTGTCAACATACCTTATTATGGTTTTAATTGTTTACAATATATTCGCATAGTTGCAGCTGTTGTTTTGACCATACTCGATGATTTTTATTAAACTCGAGCAATACCCTTATGTTGATCGAAAGTTTAAGGGTTTCCAGGGTAAAGAGTGAGATGGATGCAGATAAAGAGTAGAGTATGATTCGCGAGGTTTTCGGAAAAATAAATTGCGTTAAAATCTCTCTGAACGGTTGTTTGCCGAACCCCTCATTGTTGCACTGTATAAAATAAGAGAGACGTCCCTATTTTGGCGTCGCTCCCCCTAGAAGATTTATATTCATGTGCCACTAATTGCATCAAATAATTACAGAGCAAACTAAGTTTATCTCCCATTATGAATTTTGAAGTTTTACAAGAAATCTCGAAAGAGAAGATAATCACCTAATAATTTCAGTCTAATTTTACCTGCGTTATTGATGAGAAGATGAATGTTCTCCTCTGAAGCTAAGATCTCATCCGCGCATTTGCGGATTGATCTGAATTTTGCGAGGTCCAGCTCTTTTACGACGATCTCACCGACATTTTTCACTCCTTTGGTTTGTTCCTGGATGTCGCGTGATGCAGATTCAGCCTTTTCCAAGTTGCGGCAAGCCATTATCACTCGAGCCCCTGCACGTAACAAAGTTTGGTAATTGAAAATTATAGACCTAACAGCATAAATAATAAATCTGAAAATTCAAAATCGTTGCAAAAATTTTGGATTTTGACCGTAACGTAATTGTGCTCTTAAAAAAGGGAATGAAATAGCCATAGCAGCAACAGTTTTATGGACTGGAAGGTGGTTCCTTTGCACTTTTTTTCAGACTACTCCAATTCATTAACAATTTTCATAATTTCATTCTCCCTAAAAATATCTATGCAATTCACATAACTCTTCCGCAAGTTGTGGGTGACTTTTGGGGTTCATCTTGGAACGATACCTTTTTAGAAATCTTCGATCGGTTGATCAATTTTCGAATATATCCTATCAATAAAGTTGATTTAGCGTATTCAGACCATGCATCGTCTTCCCTGATAGCGTACCTCTTTTGTAAAATTCCATCACGTATTCTTTGCCCATCCCTGTGTTGCAACCTGTTATGATGGCTACTTTACCATCCAATCTTGCTTTGCTCCTGCATTTTCCACCGAAGAGACGTGTCATCTTGAATACATGAAAAAAAGGAAAAAATACAATTTATAAATGATTAATTAATATGTTTTAATACTTGCATGCATGCATATTAAAAAATAAGATGAATAAATGAATAAAAATAGAAGTTAACTTACGATATCAAAAAGGTTGCTCAAGCCTCAATTCTAACATAAAACTAGCAGGTGACGTGATTTTTTTTAACTAAAATCGTGGCCTGATTCGGAAAGCGCAAAAATGTAATGAATGAAACAAATTTCTAGTGTCCACATGCTCCACAAGTGTCTGGATATCGTACAGATGTTATCAGTATGTAGTCGTGCGGTGATAGTAAACTTCGTTTGAAAAATTTACCAGAACCAGAACTTGGAACTTTAAGTTTAAAAAAGTTTTCTAGGTATGGTTCTTCTAATGCTAAGGTGACGTGCAGATGAACGTATTTATGGTGAAAGGAACTAGAGACGTGTGGGAAAGATGGGGTGCGCTCGTAAAAGCTGCCTAAGAAACAATGTAAAAGTGGGCATGATTCCTTTCGGTAAAATGGAAAAGCGGGAATTCACATTAAATCAAAAGGAACTAAATCCAAAATATGCTAGCTCATGAGCCGTGGGCATGTGAGAAGGGGGTTGTGGACAGATCTCAATAGGCTCATGAGTTAGAGAGCGTTCCCGTCCCCTTGTGGATCCTCGTCGTCGACGCTGACGTCACTGGCGCATTGTAATTCCCATTCATTCTTACAGACCTCAACTAACGAGCTCACTCCTTCTTTTCCACCTGACTCTCCTTTCTTTGAACATAAATACGTCCAAATTATGTGAAGCAAAAAAATGAATTCTGGAAATCTGAGCCTACAGATGATCTCACCTGATCTGAGATTTGAAAACTATGATGAGGGTGAAAGTGTCAAATTACGTTCATCACCAAAATATGATACTTTTCAAGTATGTTTACAACATGCGCACTTGAAAAATATACACGTAATAATTCAATCAGCCCAATTATATATGAGAGAAATAGAAGCTAAAACGGGATACAGGCTATAAATAAAACAATTTGAACGAGACGTTCCGGGATTAACATGCTGTTTGGTCTTTCCTTGCTATTAAGCGGCGGCTCATACGTGTTTTTTTATTTTTTGGTTTTATTTTATCGGCGATTGAAAAAGGGCATGTTAATCCTGTGGCATGCCTGTACCCCGTTTTAGCTTCTATTTCTCTCATACTTGAAAAATATACATTGTATACTTCTTGTAAGCAATTGTCACATTCATTCGTTAACTAAAACAAAGCTAATATTTTATTTGCTTACCCAGCATCCTGGCGCATCTCTTAAAAACTGCCAAATCCAAAGCAAAGCCTCACTCATGTCGGATTATTTTAGCTTTTCTCTTATTTGAAAACTCGAGTGAGCTCACTTAAGATCTTTTATTATTTGCCACCACCCTCTCTAGCAGAGCCTTCTGGAGCGTTTACTTGTTTGGTGACAACAAACTAAAAATTACAAAAATATGGAATTCAATTTAAAGAGATGTTTATGCGTATGCAATAATCTAAAACTTCAACGGCGAAGGATGTAATGAATGCACAATCCAATACAATTATGACTGGAAAAATGATTGTTCAATCAGAAAATTTTTTCATCTCATAACCTTAGCCACAAGAAGGGAGGGGCGTATTGCACTACCTATGCCAATTGCCCTCCCTTTCGTTTGGCACGGTTTAAAAGGAAATTGCGTGCCCCGTAATCCGAATTTCGAATTTTCTGTCCCCCCACAAATGCACGCCTGAAACTCTCCCTAAGGTCCTGTTATATTTACTCAGTTTGTGCTCAAATTTTCAATTGTTGATAGGAGACATTAGATATCATAAATAAAGACAAATTCATTAAAATCCTCTTTTTCTAACAAAACAATTTTCAAAATTATATTATTATTTTCTACTTTCACGTCAAGTTTTACTATTTTTTTAATTTATTTGACTTTAATTGACTCTGACAGCCTATTGACTTGATTTATTAATATGGAAGTATTCTTTGGAAGATTTCTAGCATTGTACATGAAGCAACAGAGGGACAGGATCAACCATTGCGATCTAGAACTCGCTAATAATATTCCCTTGAAATAAAATAAGAACAGAAATCATGCATTCTTTACTTTCTATAATTTGATGTTTGAAAAAGTTCTTTGTGCAGGCATAAGTTATTTTTCAATTTTAAAAATCGACACATTTAAAGAGTACCTACCAGTATTTTTGACCACACCGAAATTACGTTGCTCGGCGTTTATTTACCGCCTATAATGTTTTTGAATTAGGGAACAAATTTATTTTCTTAACACAGCACCATGTGCAAGAAGAAAAAGAAAAAGAAAATTTACAGGAAAAATCATTGCAAACTTTTATGATATGCGTCTACGACGGAGAAGCTTTAAAGTTTTTTTTAAAAAAATTTTAAAGAAGATTTTAAAGACATTTTTTAATTTTTTAAATTTTTTAAAGAAATGTTTAGAATGATGTTTATAGCTCCTTTAAACTTTCACTTTTTTGTATTTATAAACTCCAAAATGGGTCAGTTTTAAAGAAAACTATGATGATTGACACTTCAACATTATTGAGTCGTTCTAAAAAAACGATTAGAGATTTTTTTTTTTATTTTTATTTCACTTCATTTGAATGATGAAAACGGCACTGATGATCGAGAATTTATTAAAGCAGTGGCATTAATTTTAATATTTTATAACGTCTCAATTGGGGCAGTCACTATCAATTGTAATATTATCTACAGAAATTCTAACCATAAATTCGGCAGTACACACTGCACTGAGAAGCGTTCCGAGACTCTCGAATTTTTAAGACGCGCTAGTGCAAGGCATGCATTCTAGAAATCCGAACATCGCTATACTACGCAGATCCTCATCGACAGCCTTGACTTTCACGAAGCATGTCTCAGTCCCCTAAGTGCGAGGAAAGCGTAGATGATTTTATTACATTCATGCGGGAAAAAAGCCGCATTAAATGACTCAGCTGACTTGAATTCAATATGCTAATTTTTTGCCGAATGTTATAAACAGAAGATAGAATCAAATAAGAGGAGGAGAAAAAATTGGCATAATTGATTTATTTTAAAATTTAGTAAAATAAGCTCAGAACGATTAAGGGATCGTCCGTTTCGAACTATATATCGATCGTGAAACTACCGGACCACGTATCTCGATTTGCGACGTTGTAGACTCCCTATCATACTTTATTTTAAAATGGGAAACTAATCAACGTCAATTCTTGAAAACTTCTGTGTTTTTTCTTCTCCGTGCGATGAAAATTCTGTGAAAATTTCAAGAATCAATATTTATTTATTCTCTTTCAAAAAAATAAAACGGGTGCGGAGGTTCTTTGAATCGCCGCAAATGAGAATATGTGGTCTGGTATAGTTTTACCGTCGATATGTTAGCCCGTTTAAGATTAATTTTCTTCTTTCGCTGTATGCGGAGGATAGGGAATTCCCTATCCTGCACTTACAGCGAAAAAGGAAAAGTATTCTGAAACAGGCTTTAACCCTGTTTTTCCTCTCAAATGATACCTATAAATTGCGTGCCTACAATTGTACCGAGTTTATAAGAAAGGAGCCAACTCACATTTCCGAAAAAATTGAGTTAAGAATGTTTGTGAGTTTCTCTAGTTGTATATTTTCTTCAGCCAAAAACTCGAGGTCGAAAAAAAATATTAGTTTGTGAAAAGAAGCTTCAAAGTTTACTTTCCTACATTGAGTCTTATGGAGGAATACAACTTCAAACCTCTTTTTCTCAGTTTTAATTTGATGTGGGTTGGTTCCCTTCTGATAAACTCTATCCAATTCTACATTGTGATATACCTATCAACTTCGCCTAGATCTAGAAACAAGAATAGTAATTTCTCGCATAGGAGTGTGTGCGTATCTGTATCTCAGATTTTTGAAGGAGCTCTGAACGTCCAACTGTGCCTTAAACATTTGAACAGTTAATAGAATATGAGCGCGCACAGTGGGTATGATTAACCCATTCACATGAGAAAATATGAGGTAGTAGTTTCTACTTCACCCGAAGATGTCGGGGAAGAATTAAAAAAATGCATGTAAAATTCAGAAATCCTAAGAAAAATTGACGTTCACAAATATGTAACGTATTACATAATTTTAAGATTAACATAATATACTATTGATAATAATACTAATTTTTATTAATCATTTTTAATACTCTCCCATTATTCCGAATTTAGTGTAATTGTTCGTGAAACATTCTTTCCAATATTTCCTAGTGATCACACACTACTCGAGTTTTTTTTTTAAAAACATCGATTTGCCGTCTGGATATATGTTACCTTAATCATATGTATGATGTTGTTTTAGTTATTTGTTTTTAATTTTTCAAAATATCATTCTCGAGTCCTATGATATTAGTAAAATATTTTTTAAAAAATTAAAGATGCTAAAAATAAATCAACAAAGTAAAAGATCCAGCTCAAGTAGAAAAATGAAAATTTTTATTCAATTTTTTCTAATGATAATTATACCTAGTATAAGTGACAGGAAAACCTTCTGACCTCCACTTTTCTTTGTGTAGTAAAAGTATTCGTTTTTCGAGCATACTATCATGTTTGATGTAGCAGATGGAGAATTTGCACGCAAATTTTTTATTGCTTCATCTGAAAGTGCCATAAAATGCCGTTTTATGTCTCCTCTAGCCTTGTATCCCCATTTGTTTTCTGTATTTTAGTGTGTTTTTATTGTTGTCTGCATTCATGCTATTGTGTCTCTCTATCTCTCTTATCGCTTTGAAAGTGCCTAGAGCTGATTTCGCAGTATTTTTTATAATTTTTTTCTGCGATGGGAAATAGTATAAAAATAGATTTAAAAGTGAGAAAATGCGCCGATAATATTGACGTCATCTGGAGGCATTTCCTATTTAAACGCATGTATTTTAGCAGATTAGATCTTTTCGTCATATCACCTTCGATAATTATTCAATTTATGAACCTAGGGTATCCTCGTATTCAGCTCATTTGGTAGCGTCCGCACTTAAACACGGACTTTATCAAAATGTCCCTCCTGTTCAGGGCAAGCTTTCTTTGGAATATTTTATGGAGGATTTTACTCTAGAAGTCTCGTTAAACCTTTCACAAACGGATCATAATCTTTGGATAAACCAACTGCAGTCCAACTGTACTCCCAGAGTCTTATAGCCTCCTCCTGATTACGAGCTCTTTTAATGAGTTTTCTCGGCTTGCAGTCTCTGGAAAAGAAAAATGTTTTTTAAAAAAACAAAAACAAAAAACACCACAATTTCGTCATATGTCTTCTAGTTCTACCATTGATAAATGCGTTTTCATGGACTTCATGGACTTCCGCCCTTCAAGTGATTAGACGGAACTATAGGAGGCACCGAAAAGCAATCAGGGCAGAATCCTCTTTGTATAAGTCATGGATATATTAAGACAGGGCACTCAAAGCGCGCAAGTCGGTAACCAACTTCGGCACGATGATCCGACAAAGGAAGATGATCGAATTTCTTAAAACAGGTCGCTATGCCGGCCGCTAATTTGGGTAGCAGATTTGCTGTAAGTGCCGCATTTTCAATTGCTCCGCTCCTCAAGTATACGAAGGTGGATTTTAACTCATCTGAATGCAATCATGTATTTCTCACATGAATTCAGATATAACAAAAGGTCGATTCCGAAAAAGTACAATCTGTCCATTGATCGGTTCGAATGAAAAATATAGTTTTAAATTTAAAAACACTCTCATCAATCAATTTTTTCTACCAATTGTGTAATTAAACTTCCTTGTCAAGATGATTTGCTACTTTCAGTAATGACATTTTATAAAGTACTTAATGCTGCGAAAACAAATTCTAGGAGTAACGCAACGCAAGCAGATTTAAATAATCGACGTCTAGTTCTTGCCGTCGAGAGGGAATTGATACAAATAGGGTATCGACATTTTAGACTTTTTTTATCTGAGGTTTTGTTTTTAGGGTATAACCAGGTTATAACCAACCCTCTCCCATAAAAGCGTATTTTTCGATCAAACTTACGTGTAGTAAAGACCAGTTTCTTTTCCTGCATTTTCATCCAGACAGCAATGAAGAATTGTCTCAGCGCCACATCGGGCTGATTTGTAATACAATTTAGAGTAGCGACTCAAAAAAATACATTTCCAGAACTTTGATACATCAGGCATTTCCTCTAAGTGGCGGAAAATGTCAGTTGCAACTAGTCCAGGATGCAGACTGTAGGTTGTTACCTCAGTTCCTATGGTAAATAGAAATTTAATGGTAAAATTGGAACAGTGTATACTTTTCAATGCAGGGTTATCCAAAAGTCACCGACGGCACCACCTCCCTCTCCCATGCCTTTTTCCCCCAAACATTTTTAAAGTATAGTTGAACTCAGGAACTTCGAAAAACCTCATGAAAATTGATTTTTCTACGTGAATATGTTATCGATCATATTGCTCACATCACGGAGATCGGCAGATTTTCCCGCCAATTAAGCTAAAAATATTAAGACAAGTGTCACAACTGAGCAAAGTCCAAGGTAAAGTGCCCAGAAAACGCCTTCAAACACCTCTGCGGCAACCATACACACGCGCAACAACCACACACACACGCCGGCCCAGGCCGATAAGCCGATAGGGGTCGATCGACCCTGTATCCCTGAAACGATGAATGTTTATATCTTTAGCTTGGCGGCTCATCTTTACATGGAAATGTCCTTGCTGCGAATATACAAATACGATAAGTACTTGAAAGATATTTGTATGAGAGTTATTTTTAAAATCTATTATTTTTTCTAAATTTTAATCTTTTTAAAATGTATTTTCTCTTAGAATCGTGTGGACCCAGCACTTTTCTACCAACCTATTATTCATAGCTCAAAATTTAATGTTTTTTTCTACTGCTTGTATTTAAGTATTATTATATTTAATGTATACTTTCATACTGTGCTCAAAGGTCAATCCGTAGTAATAAAGTGATGAATAAATTAATTGAGGTGTCATAAAATAATGCACCTACCTTTAAGTCTCGTTGCAAGTTCAGCCGAGAAAAGAACATTCGCCAGTTTGCTTCTGATATACGCTCTATAGGGTGTGTATGATCTCTCAAGTGTGATATCATCATAATGCATTTTATCGTCGCCTGAACTCATACCAAAAAAAGTATAAGAATTTTGCAAACACTAAGGCACGTATCATATTTCCAATTACTGAAATAGAGTAAACCTTGCGAATTCCACAGAAATTTTTGCAAAAATCAAACTTATTTTAATGACTGTAGCAGGTTAAAGATAGCTACATTCGCAAAATTTTGTCGTAAAACGTTCCTTTCACAAGGAATCGAGGATCCCGTCTCCAGATAAAGGGGACCATTCATAAAATACGTTATGCTAAAAATCAGATTTTTACCCCATCTCTCCTCCGTGGCGCATTTGTCACGCAGGTGTGAGCACCCTCCCTAAAAAAAACACTTGAAAACACAAAAAATACATAACAATACGCTTGACGTCCTGTCATCTGATCAGTAGGAAACATCAATGATGAATCTCGGGTTTTTCATCCCTTTTTTTATTTGCGGAGAAATTAAGAGTGGCAAAAAATGAGAGAAGAAATCATAAGAAAAATAAGTGGCGATTGGAACATTTTTTAATTCTGAAATTCAAGGAAAAAAGGCAAATAATGCAACCAAAGAAAAAATTTAAAAACATTTAAATAAAACTTTAAAATGTGATAAAATGGGAAAAAACAAATGAGAAGAAACCACATTTTTTTCTCTTTTTAAATCCAATTAAAACACAGCTCAAAAGGCACGCGACGCGTCTCTGAACTCCCCTTCCTTCCCCGCAAGGCACCCATGGCGCTGATTCAGAGCCCATCCTTCGCCACAGGGCATTAAGTGTTTTATGAATGTTCCCAAATTATGATGCCACGCTTTATCTTCTACTTTGTATCAAATAACGCTGCTTGTATCTGCTTAAGAGATGAATAATGAGAAAACATATCTACATACCCCAAATATAAGCTATTGAGGAAACAGTAATAATCCTTGCAGGAGCAGACTTCATAATCTTTGGTAATAAGAGCATGGTGAATAAGAAATGTCCGAGGTAATTCGTCTGAAATTGGAGTTCGTGGCCATCTTGTGTGAGTTCTCGCGTAGGGAAAAAAGCTCCTAGATCCAAATCATTAAAGCTGATTCAGGGTGACTTCAGGGTGTGACTTTTTTAAATTAGGATTAAATACACAGATAAAAGAGAAAAATATATCCATTGGATCTATTATGTATGAAACGCATGATTAACACTACCAGATGTCTGTCTACTACATTTCCTCGGGACTTTAATATATCGACGGTAAAATTGCAACAAATTAACGCGTATCTTATTTGCGGTGTCTCAAATCTCCGCATCCATTATATTTTATCAAAAAGGAATGATCCAACACTATTGCTTGAAATATTGTCACAGAGATCTTCTCGCACAGAGGTAAAATCAGGATAATCTTCAGCAAGTGACGTTGAATATTTCTTCATTTCAAAAATAAATTATGCCAGGAGGTCGTGTAGTATCGCAAACTGAGGCACGCGTTTCTTGCAGTTTCACCGTCACTACGCTATAGTGTCTACTTCTATTTTTTTTTTCATCGGGGATAAGGTCAAATGATGGAGATATACCTTAATTGTGCGTGCAGAGGATAATTACATCACCAGGACAGGTGTAAGCCTTGTAAATGTTTTCCCTTTGACTTGTAAATAAACTATCAAGTATTACGTTCAAAACCTCATGTTTCAGGGGCGTGGGCGTGGTCCAGTGTTGAGCCGTGAATGATCGAATATGGATATTTTCCTAATTGAATCTATGGTAAAGAATCAATTGTTAAGGTATGCTATAATAATCGATTCTTTTACATGTATTTAAATGGCAAAGCAATCGATTAATCGCAAAAGCACGACATGCCATACCACTATGCGACCGCGATGGCGTAAAAAACAATGCCATAGTTCTCCTGTCTGTTCCTTCATGACTGCTTTCATTCAAACACGCGCCGCTGTGATGCTCGTTGAATCGGATTCTTTTTTTGTCGCCATAAAAAATACCTACTATTTTTTCCCCCTCTTCTTTCCTTCCCGGAATTAGGTTAAATTCTTCTCACCGTTGTGAATCATGGTCGCGTAACAGAATTAACTGGATAGTAATACCTTGCAAAAAGAAAGCAAAGGTCTCCTTAAAGCTTTTTATCGGCGACCATCCATGAGAAAAAGGATCTTATTTTAGGGAGACATAATTTTCAGTAAAGCGGCTTCGGCGAGTTTGATAGAAAATTCAAATGTTGAAATCTCGACGGGAAACTATTTTTATTGACCTATGGAGAGTGAAATGAGTGGATTAATTCGTTTTTGTGTGAATAGAGGGTCAAAAGTTGCATTTTATACTCTAATCATATCAAAATAGAAATGAAAACATTTTTCACTTGCAATCACTTTGTTTGAACTGCAATAAACTTCAAACTGCATTGAAAATTCGGTTTGACTTGGAGTGTGCTGGCTGTCTTGGTAAGCATGTAAGCATCATGGAACACCAAGGGAACTAATGAACCTTTACAGAATACGAATGAATCCCGAAGAAAATTGTTTTATTTGAAAAAAAAGGATGTAATGAATAAACCGCTAATTTTACCTGCATTATTTACGAGGAGATGGATATGTTCCTCTGAAGCTATGATATCTGCGGCACACTCGCGGATTGATTTAAATGATGTGAGGTCAAGTTTCTTTCTTAAAATTACGCCGACATTTTTTAGGCTAGCGGTTTGTTGTTGAATATCGCACATTGCGGATTCAGCTTTTCCCAAGTTTCGACAAGCCATTATTACACGTGCTCCTGTAAATAAGCGACTGTTTCACGATTGAAAGTTTTAGATTTTATACAATTTAATTAAGCTATTTAAAACATCTGAGCCGGTGCGAAGGCTTTGTGTTTGATCACAGTCTTCATGTTGAAAAAATAAAGTAAACTAAAAACAAAAAAAGAGAAGAAGAGGAGAAAATTTTAATCTACAATGCAGCCAAAATTAGGCCAAATTAAGGTCACTCCTCGACCGCACACGATTCAGACCTGCGAAATTTTCGATTCATGAATTGAATTGAATTTTGGAATAAGGAAATGCAATTCCTAGTTCATCTATTAAAGCCTTTTGCATAAGGCAACTAATGGGTACACATGCATCGACATTGATCGGGAAATATTGATCGTGAATCTTAATTTTTAAAATGTAGTCAAACTCATTTCTCACCTTTAAACTGTATCCCTTAGGAAAAAGAATAAGAAAACATCTCTCATTCTGCCGTAATATAACACAGAATATGAGGTTTGGAGATCGGACGAACAAAGAATAATATGAATGTAATGTATTCATCAAATGGTTCTGGTTCTTATCAATTTAGGTATGTGGATCAAACATGTCAAAATTAATGATACTCTGGCAGTTTACCTCGTTTGTAAAGTTCCATCGCGGTTTCTTTACCCATCCCTGAGTTGCAACCTGTGATGATAGCGACTTTTCCATCCAGTCTTGCTTTGCTCTTGCATTTTCCGGCGCAAAGGTGTGACATCTTAGACAGACGGAAAATGGACCATGTTTAGAAGTCACCTGAGGAAATCGCGGCGTCATATGCGGTATTTTGTTCACAGACAGTTTTACCATGCGCGCCGTTATGTGTCATTTAGATTGTGTATGGTTTTCCTCACTGTATAAATAACCTCTGGGAACGAGTTCTTTTTTAAAATGGGATATTCCAATTTTTAGATGACCTCGAAAGACTCCAATACTTTTCAGAAAACGGTCATGTTCCTCCTTACAAACAACTCCTTCAAACACCATCATCACATGGGCCTTTTCATCGGAAAATTTACATTTAATACATCCAACCAATTATCTTGCGACGATGTCTACAATTTTATCGGAAGCGCAAAACTTTCATCGTTGAGTTTTTGTACCATTCTCTGGCGTTAAAAACAGTTTTTAAATTCAATGCTTAAATTGATAGAATGAGCTTAATCTGTTGAAAGGAACTGATAATTAATTTATTTAAAAACGTTAAAATTCTGTTTGAATTCAACTGAAATGAAAATAAATAAAATCGAAATCCAAATTCTCACCACGTGTCCTGGCGCATCTCTCAAATGCTGCCAAACCCAAAGCAAAGCGTCGCTCATTTTGGCAAATCACAGCTTTTCGATTCGAAACTTAAGTATGCAAAGTTCAAGTTCATCAGTTTTTTTGACTGCACGTTAGCTGTAACAAAATTTTTTTTTAAATTATTCGTTGCGCTCTGCAATTTAAAGACTTTACATGCAAAGATTAGTGGAAAGTCATTTTGTTTTTAGGTTTTCTTCGTTACCACCGCCTGGGAAAATTCTTTTGATACACACAATACAAATGAAATAACGTGCCGTGAACTAGTTTTTTTGAGTTTATCACTGCACTTAAAGCTCAATTTTTTTACGTATCTGCCGATCGCAAAGAAAAAAAGAATAAAACCTCGCAGGTAATAGACGGTTGGAAACAAAGAAAAAGAATAAAATATGTGATGAAGTTTAACTCACTTTTCGAGTTTAGATGTACCCTAGTTCTGTAACTTAAATTAATTTCTAATAAAATTTAACATAGAGAATAAAAAAGAGGAAGAAAATAAATAAAACATGGAAGAAAAATAGTAGTTAATAGGTTTCATCGACGTATTTAGTGTCCTAGAGAAGACTTAATCGCACAATTTATTTTTTAAATACTCTGACGTGGGGAAGGGGCTGTTACGAACACAGTTGCAGACCAGTTGGATTCTTAAACTTCATGGAAAACCGGTTTTCCTGAGAAAATTCTTGGTACGGTGATTTTGGTCACTGAAATGAACTTTTATTTGTTGTCATTTTATTATTTCAAAATAGATCGCTCAAAAAATTATGAACGATTCTCGCCGTGACTTTATTACACTCTGAAAAACCCGCACTGTTGAAGGGGTTTTACTATATTTTACTCCACGTTAGCGTTAAAAAACCGCACTGAAGATGAGGTATTTCAAAACAAGCGCGATACTTTTTAATCATTCAGGTTTATGAGAGCAGTACCCACGGATATTGATGTAGCAGAAAAATAACCACGAATATACGTCAACGGACACTGTAGGAATGGCTGGGTGAAGACTTTTGAGAGGCCGATATGCTGGTCCTTTCAAACAAATTCTTTCATTAAAATGCTCCACCTCATCAAATTCTACCAGAATCTCTAATTATATACTTATATAAACGATTGTAAATACACGTCCCAGCCTGTAGGTGATCGCTTAATATACCTGGAAAGTAATTTGAAATAACCCACACATCCATACACACATTTTTGAAGGTTTTTTCCCCCAATTTCTCCGCGAAGACGGAACGGCTACACCTAACGGGGAAACATCTGATTAAAGAAAGTCAATTAAAATACACAAGAGGGGTAGTAATTTCTTTTTTTCGATCATTTTTCCCGCTGCTTGAGTTGAAACATCTGGTCAAAGGATAAGCGGCTGAAAGGTGAACACATTTCAGACCTTTTTTCCTCGGGACCTCTCCATGAGATCTGTCATTGGGGAATGTCTCACTTGCAAAGTTGGGACGAACATTGACCAATTCAAAGCCAAGTGGGGTTCTTGTCCTTACTTGTAGAGATCTGAGACCAACTGGGAGAGGAAGAAGGAGTAAAAAGCCAATTGTGTGATATTTTGTTCTTTTGTTGTTCGTGTTCGTTTAATTTAAATAATTTGTTTAGTCGTTGATTGTGTTCAATTACTAAATTAATTACATTTAAATGCTCAATTTTTACTAATTCATCATCTTACGGAAACTTTTTGCAGGAACGTGAAGACCCTCCCTAAAAATTTTAAATGGTATAAAAATTGAGGATATCATAAAAAAATTGGAAACTATTTTTCTTTAAAAAAATTAAAAAATATTCTCTACGAAAGATAAGCTTGAGGTAATTTTTTTCTTTGCTACCTACCAACCTACCAAGGTTTTTTTTTTTTTTTTTTTTTTTTTTTTTTTTTTTTTTTTTAACGTGAGTGGTACAGACATGGAAATACCCTTTCTCCCTACCCCTACAATTACTTATTTCAGTCTCAATCTTGTCCCATCGATGATCAAGCAATTTAAAAAATCGGCTTGTGGCAATAGCATAATTCATTATCAGTAAGTGATTTTTTCTCTCTGGCTCACGCGTCACATCACATGAGGAGAGTATGTGAACAGTGTCCGTGTCTGCTGACTTTTTCGGTCAATCGTATTGAAAACCGAGAGAAACCCCTTCAACTGATAAGGTATACAATTTTAGTAGCAGGTATGTAGTTTTAGTTGTAGCGCAAGTTCGTTACGGAGTTTTATGCGACGCGACAGGATGACCAGAATCAATCACCAGACTCCGTACCGTCTTATGCCGTCTCAAAAAAAAAACTGATTTCTTCATCAGATTTAAAGAGACAGCGAAATAGACGTTTAAAAGGGAACGAGGTACGAAAGTATACCTCCCATTTTTTTCTCCGGTTTTGTCTTCCTTTCTGTTTAGGGAAATAGGAAAATCGGACGTAGGTACTTAAACCAAAAGGTCGATCTATCTAAATTGAGGGGCTTGGAGGAAAAGGCGCATAAGTGCAGCTTTAGTTATTTTGAGAAAAATCTATTCAAAGTTTTTAAATTGCATGAAGCCTTATGGCGGAAAAATGTTCAAACTCACATTTTGATACTTAAAAATTGAATTTACAAGAGTTGTTTTGACAAAAAATTTTTGAAACCTAGATTTAGTTGAAATTACTAATATCTAATTCCCTTACTTTCTTTCTTTTTCCCCCAAAAAACTGCACTTAAGTATGTGTCTTTTGTCCTCCAAGCCCCTCCATTGTGCCATGACTAAAAGTAAATACATACATGACAAGGCTGCAGTGTCACAATGGAGACGGTCCCTTATGATTTAAACAGATCCAAATGGTTAATAAAAATTCCTCCTGAATTTGTGTACAGAAAGATTGCGCACTATTTTCTTTCTTCTTAACGTATCGCCTGAACGCATTTACGACGACTGCTTTCTTTAGTTCTCAATGCTGTTGGTCGGAAAACGTTATACACGGATCTGGGTGTTGTCATGAAAATTTTGAAATAATTTCGTGCTATACGCACACTCACAGAGCAGGAACAGGGAAACAGCTTGCAAGACCCGCCACTGACTAAAATATAAAACCGCCACGAGGTTAATACAGTTAGTAAAAATAGCGCCTTGTACCTCAGGGAAACCTATCAGAAATATTAACGTAGCCAATCTCAGCCTGATGCCCCATTTATTGGTTTTTCTGAGTCACCCTCCCGTGAAAGTGGCTCTCACGTGGCACTTTAATGAGTAAGTAGGTCGTTCACCACCCCATCCAGACAGCAACCAGGTACGCTCAGATACTCACCTTCCCTTTCAACCCTGAGCTCATTATATGATTTGGGGCATGCGACGCGGAAGTCTGCAGACTCTATTGAGGTGTGAGTCCTTCTCTTTGCCTCTGAATCCCTTACCTGAACAGGTAGCTTGCTACCTGTAACAATGGTAATATTTGGTTCGTTGACAAATCACTTCCCAGGGGGTCCTTTGTTGGGGCGAGTGGAGCACGCCACTTGAATGGCTCAGATTCTTTTATTAGGCCAAACCACTCGACGGAAACACGGATCAGGTGCGTTTATTACCTATGGGCCAGCCAGCATGAGGGTGGGGGGGAGGGTAGGGGTGGATAAAGTAAATGTGATGATGTGTCTAGGTCACTTCGTCTGCAGCGCTCGTAGTCTTTCAGAACTGTTCTGCCTAATTTTTTAAATGTGAGAAGAAGAGTGGTGATTAGCGGAAATGCCCTATTTTAAAAATTCAATCTGTAAAACATCCAACACAGAAATGTTCATCAGAATAATATCCACTCCAAAACTGCCTATTCGAAGGTCCTGGTAAACGAGTATCTTGGAAACTAAACGTCCATATATTAATTTCTCCAGGAAAGCACATCACCTCAGGCATTTGAAGTCACGAGGAAGGTAAAAAATCGAGGTATTTTATGCCAGCAGGGTAACTTTGCACGTCGCACAATTTTGCTAAATTCTTGCAATTTTACTTCGATATTGTAGAAATCTCATTGTTTGCTCCGAAACCTTTCTTTCCTACAAGTATTTTTTACATTTTAAGAATATTTCTAAGGAAAAATAATTCTAAGGTACATAATTGGATTGCTATAATATTAAATAATGAAGTGCACGCGATCTTTGAGGCACTGCATGGTAAGAGACTTTGTTTGCACAGAATCCCTAAATTAATAGGAATTGGCAAAAAACTCTTAAAAGCGTGCATCGGAAGGATGGCATTGATATTCTTTACGACCAAGCTGAGTCTTGAGTATAGTCTGATAGATGCAAAAAATCAAATAGATTGCCAACATGTGCTTACTCATTGTCAGAAATATTGCATTCATACCATAGTGACCTTTTTTGGAATAGTTCACCTCATTTGTACGGATTTAAATGGAGTCAACCGAACCACATTGAACAATGCTTAATTTTTTCCAATGTTTCATTTTTTATAAAGAAAAGTTAGCGACACAAAAACTTAAAATTTTGCGAGTATATTCTTCATAATCTAATGATAATGAATGAAAGTTTAAAGACGTTAATTGCTTTACGTCTCTGTTGAAAAAAAAAAACACGAGAGAAAATATAGGCAATATCTGATGCAGTTAGGCTCAAACCTTGGTCAAATTGTGGGCCGTGCCAAGAAAAAGTAAAATATTCACCGAGTGGCAACACCCGCCAGCGGTTGCGGCTTATGCGAAGGTGTGAGAACGGGAAAACGGATGTGCATGAACGGATATAGATAGATTGATAGTTGCCGAAAAAACGGAAATACGTGAGATCCTG